ACGCGCGCGTGAGAGCGCGTGGGTGGTCTTCTGAGGGAGTGGCCGGTGCCGGTGTGACCGCGTTGTCAAGACAATCAAGGTGGTAGGCTGCGTGCCTGAAAATTCCACCGGATGGTCGTGGTTGACGGTACAGAAGCGTGAAGCGGAAGAAAATCGTTCGGAAACTAACGAGACAGTTCCGTGAATTTTTTTTTTGTAAAATACGATGAACAGTGGGTTCACCGGAAAAAAAAAATTCAAACGTTCCTTAGGCTCTTGATACCATGTTAAATAACGAGAGAGAAGAGAGGAACATTTGAAATAATAATGTGTGTATTGACTGATGAAAGTTGTACAATATATAAAGACTAATGGGCTAAGCCCAAACCTAATGTAATCTGACTTAATACAAAATAAGGAAACCATAATTACAAAATAAGGAAACCTTAATTACAATGTATTTCTAACATGTGCTATTTTTGAACTTTAAAAGGCTACAACATTCACACGGAACTTGTGAATATCATCCATAAACAAATCTGCAACTCATAGACATTGACTGTTATGCAAAAAAAATATAATTATGTTCTCAATAATTCATTCTTCAAATATAACCACCAATGAACCTTCTCCTTTGCATTATTATTCAATATGATCATGTCTCATTGATTCAACCGTACACAAAATTTGCTACAAAATAAAATCAATTAATATACATGAATGAAAAAATTTAAATGTTGTGCTGATTGTTCACTTTGTTTAGATGGACTTTCATTTATTATAATATGATTGTTCATTTTATTTAGTTGCTTGTTTCTGAAATATTTATAGCAATAAATCCAATTATTTTAGTCACACAAAGACGAATTTGCTAGACAGTAGATATAAGAAAAAAACACGTGTTCGCTGGCAGGGTGGGCTGACCCTCCGGGCCTACTGCATTTTGTCACCTCTAACTATCAATATTTTATATAAGCATGGAATAAGTTTTCATATTTATCTACACACAAAATTCTTATATTTGCGTCTAGATTACTATATATTTATTTTCTATAGTTGTGACATATATATTAGATGAAGAGTTGAAAAATATTTGAGTTAATACGTTTAATATTCTAACAAATATTTCATAGTTGAAGTTGAATTCCATATGAGTAGATCCATTCTCAAAATGATCAAACAACCATTTATATGTTGGGTTACTATTAGCAAAATATATATTTACCATTAAAATTTTATATATAATTAATTATTTTTTTGTTATAAACTTTAAATAGCAACTGACATGACATTTTTAATGTTTTTTTTTATATGAAATGGCACAAAGCCAGAGAGCAAAGAACTACAAAAAGCCAACAAACTCAGGGAAAACTAAGGTGGTACATTTTTAACCATTTAGTCTATATAAATGGTGCTCTTTGATATATCCAAAATTTTCTTATGAAATTGGATTGTAAATTTAAATGCTAATATTGCTGCAAAATGATTTTATATATTTTTTTAAAACATTACAGTGCTAAGCAAAAAAAAAAATTCAGATGATATGATTTGGTGCTTAAAATACTATTTAAAAAAAAAAACAGAAAGAGAAAATTTATCTTTTGAAATTTTAAGAATAATAATATAATATAATTACTCAAAATTGTATAAATAATGTTATTTAATATGGAATTGTGGCCCCTGCAGTCCTTTCATTAACTTAATTTTAGGTCTTATTCTTTATTTGTCGAGGTTTGAAATGTTTTTATCCAAAAACTGTATATAATTTTTTTTCTAACATATTTAGAACCCAAGTTTGTTTAGGTTAAACCCACAGCACGGCACTCTGATATTTTTTGAAGGCAAATTAAAAAACAAAATTGTACAATACTGTTCGTTGATTTTTTTGAAGGTTATGTATGTGAATTGTTTATTCTCAACGTAGATGATTTTTTTATCAGATAGAAAGTAAATTAATTAAGATTTACAGAAATTAACTTAAATATTACCTGATAGTATTAAAATGAAAGAAATAATACCATAGTTACTACCAAACCAATAAAACATTTATGGGAAAAACTACTCTTCAACCATATGAGATGAATTTATTTTTCAGTAGAGACATCGATTATTGAATTTTTTATTTTTTTTTATAATTATGTGGGTCCCACCATATAATTGTGAGAGAGTGATAGAAGATATTTTCTCTCCTATTAATAGAGATTAATAAAGCGCAATATTTATATTCAACGAACTACTCAGTCCTAACAACCTGATGCATAATTGAGATAAAAAGGAAAAAAACAAATATGATGCATGTACTAGGCATTAATTGTGTTAGATATATGTTTTTTTATTTTTAAGTGTATTTAATTTTTTTTTCTTCTTTAATAACTTAATTCACCTAAGTATATATAGTTGTGTTTTTCTCCGCAATTACTTTGAGAAAGGAAACTAACAATAAATTTTTAAGAAAATATTAGTCTCATGTCGTAGGATACTAATGTATCATGTCATAGCTGCAAAGTATGTGGAGCCTACTCTTTTAAAATAAAAAATAAATAAATAAATAAATGGGTTTCACATACTTTATAAATTATGTCTATGACAAGAGATATTAGTCTACTATAACATGAGATTAATATTTTCCATAAACATGAGACTAATATTCTCCATAAACTTATAAGAGGGTAGTGATAGTGTGATATTATAATTTTTTTATTTTCTTTTTTAAAAATAAATCTTAATCCAGCTTATACAAGCATAGCACAAATACAAAAAATATTTTTTTATAATATTTAAAAAAAAAAATATAATGGTACTTAATGTGTTTGACCGTTAAAGCTATTAATGGTCTATAATTTTTATTTCTGTAACTGATAAAATCAAAATTATTTGAATTATTTGGTCATTATGGCATTGTAACTATCATTTGGAATAATTTAATTAATGATGTTTCTTTTAAACAGAGAAGTAAACAGTGATTTTCACTCTACCTGTTGTCCTCTCAATACCAAACCAATAAAATATTTATATGCAATGAACTACCGGGCCAATACTATCAACATGGTCCAAAATTGGGGTAAAAAGGAAAAAAAGAAAAAAAGAAGAAGAAAAAAATACAATTCATGTACTAGGTATTATTTGTGTTAAATATAAGAACGAGGAGGTATTATTTACATATAGTCACACACAATTTAAATTGTGCCCTCAATCAATAAATAATGGTTGATGTGAATTATTTAACTTGGATTTTAGCATGAATTTTTACCATATTATTTAATAAATTTTTTACTATTAATACATTTGACCGATGCACCATATATGCACATAAAAACTTCTGTACAATTGTATTTTGATTAGTACTATTTATAAAATAGGTAATTTATTATTTATATATAAATAATTATATTTTTCTTCTCAAATTCAAATAGCATTGACATCAAAATTTTATTGATTTAGTCTATATAAATTGTGCTGATTAATATATCTTTCTTTTGAAATTGGATTGGAAATTCAAATGCTAATATTGTTGCAAATGGAGAGTAGAGTTATTGCTAATTGGAGGCACTACAAAATCAGCTCTTTAAAGTAATTTTTTTTAATCTCTTTAAACCAAAATGTTAACTAGCACAATTAAAAACATTTTTTTTTTGTAATCTTTAAAAAATGAAGGTAATTAATGTATTTGACCGTTTAAGACTATTAATGGTGTATAATTTTGATTCTGTAACTGATGAAACCGAAATAATTTGAATTGTTTGGTCATTATGACATGATAATTGTATAAGATGGGTGTGTACATTTGATCACCAATTAAAAATAGTAAATATTTTTCACCACAACTTAAAGTGATACTTTTTGGGTCAAAAGAACCTAAAATGATCAAACAACCCTTTATATGTTGGGTTACTATTAGTAAAATATATAATTTACTATTATATTTTTACATATAATTAATTATATTATACTTATAAACTTTAAATAGCAGCTGTAACACTTTTATTCATTTAGTCTATATAAATTCCGCTCGATAATATATGTAAAGTTTTCTTTTGAAATTGGATTATAAACTTAAATGCTAATATTGCTGCCAAAGGATTTAATAATTTTTTAAAACATTACAGTGCTAAGCAGTTTTTTGTTTTTTGTTTTTGTTACAAATGATATGATTTGGTGCTTAAAATATTATTATTTTTAAAAATAAAATGAGAAAATGTATCTTTTAAATTTTTTAAGAATATTGTGGCCCCTGCAGTATTTTCATTAACTTAATTTTGTGTGTTATTCTTTACTTGTCGGGTTTGAAATGTTTTATCCAAAAATGATGATATAATTTTTTCTAACATATTTAGGACTTAAGTTTGTTTAAGTTAAACCCATAGCACAGGACACTGATATTCTTAAGGTAGGTAGGTAAGTAAGTAAATAAATAAATAAACTTTATACAATATTATTAGCATACAAATAAATCTTAGTTAAGTGATTTTATTTTTTTAAGGTTATGTGAATTGTTTATTTTCAATGTAGATGACTTTTTTTTAATCAGATAGAAAGTAAATTAATTAACATTTATAGAAATTAACTTAAATACTACCTGACTGTAAAATAATACCATGAGAAATACCAAACAATAAAATTAACAATAATTTTGAAGGAGATTAGACCCACCTATGAGGATAGGATTACTATAATATTTTTTCTTTTTTCTTTTTCAAAAAAAAAAATCTTAATCCAGCTCATACAAGTATAGCACAAATACAAAAATCCTTTTTTTTATAAGTTTTTTTTTTTAAAAAAAAGAATGTAATGATACTTTATGTATTTGGCCGTTAAAGGCTATTAATGGTCTATAATTTCCATTTCTGTAACTGATAAAACTAAAATAATTTGAATTATTTGGTCATTATGGCATTGTAACTATCATTTGGAATAATTCAATTAATGATGTTTCTTTTAAACAAAGAAGTAAACAGTGATTTCCACTCTATCAACGTTTCCTTCCTTGAAGAATAGCTTCCATCATTCTCTGCTTGCAACAGATGGCTCAAAGCCAGTCCCAGGAAGTGCAACCACACCCAGTGAAAGAGCAATTACCTGGGGTTCAATATTGCATTAACAGTCCTCCTCCTTGGCGTTAGCACATTCCTGTTCTTTACTTATATTATAATTCTGTTCTTTGGTTTGTTTATATTGAACAAAACACATGTATATGCATAGTACGTGCTTCTCTGCATGTTCTGCTAGCACAGACCCCGTACGTTTAAATGTTAAATGACTAAGGGGTTCACAGTTTGTTCAGAGAATGTTAGAGCTGCCGAGTTTTCCTTTTGGAAGATTTTGACAGAACAACAAAATATAGTCAAAATATCCAAGTTTGCGGGGTTTTGCATCAAATTCATCTTCTTGCTTATTTCAACATTTTAATTGGATTTGTTGTCGTAATGCAGCTGAAGCGGTGGTATTGGGGTTCCAGCATTACATTCTGACTCTTGGCATGACCGTTCTGATTCCAACTGTGATTGTTCCTCAAATGGGTGGAGGAGATGTAAGCACTTTTTCCATTTTCTTTTTTTTCTTTTCTTGCTAGATTTTCCCTTTCTTTTGGTTTCAAATTTTACTATAGTTTGAATTAACTGAGATATTTAATTCAACTTAGGCTGAGAAGGCCAAGGTGATACAGAGTCTGCTATTTGTTTCTGGAGTAAACACATTTCTTCAATCTTTGTTCGGAACTCGATTGCCAACTGTAGTTGTTGGTTCATACACTTACATAATACCCACAATCTCAATTATCCAAGCCAGCAGATACAGTTACTATATAGATCCTTATGAGGTCAATGGAAATGTTTATTATTATTATTATTTTTTGTGGTTTTTGTTCCACTGGGGAATGCTAATTACTTGTTATTGTATTGGTGACTTTTAATTCTCAGAGGTTCACTCAGACAATTAGAGGGATACAAGGCGCATTGATCATAAGTGCATGTTTCCAGATGCTTATGGGATTCTTGGGCATTTGGAGGAATGCTGTCAGGTTAGTAACTGCAAGCAACTTTGATCAAATCCTTGAATCACTTTTTGAGTTTTATTTCTAGCTTGTTAACTCCATCTTCCTGTCCTGCTTTAGGTACCTTAGTCCACTTTCTGTGGTCCCTTATGTAACTTTCACTGGACTCGGTCTCTATCAACTTGGTTTCCCAATGGTAAAAAGTTACTCACGCTACTCTTCATTCAAATAGTGTGCCCTCTTGTATCTTAAGTTTAATGCAATTTAGCTTTCTATAGGTTTAAGACTTGACAATACGATTTATATATGACTTCTTGCCTTCTATTTTGGTCAATTACTGTTGCAGCTGGCAAACTGTGTTGAAGTTGGGCTTCCAGCACTGATTGTTTTGGTTTTCATCTCACAGGCAAGTAGTTAATCTTGCTCTCTTTTTTACTTTTGGTACTGAACTAAGAGCCAACCAATCAAAGCTTTATAGTTTAGTTCCCAATAGCAGCAACCTGTGCAAATGCTACAGCAAGTTACCAAAAATTATGAAGGGTGGAGTTATAATCCATAAAATATATGATACGGGAAATTTTTTAATCCATTATTTATTTTCCTTTAATTTTGGTCCAGAATGTGATTTTAGTCTTCTATGCTCCTGCAGTATCTTAAGCATTATATAAGCACCAAGAAGCCTATTGTTGACCGATTTGCGGTGCTGTTTTCCATTGGAAGTGCATGGTTATTGGCACAGATTCTGACTTCTAGCAGTGTATATAAACACAAGCCAGAAAGTACACAGACTAGTTGCCGCACTGATCGTGCTGGTCTTATTAGTGCTGCTCCATGGTAAGATTGTGGACACATGATTTGTTTTATCCACTGAGTTTCATTCTTTTTTTGAAGAAGAACTTGATTTCATAGTTTATAAGGGAATTGGAGAGCTTATCTCTCTTTGTTTAAATATGTTTACAAATTTAACCAGCTTGACCTAGAGTTTTTACCTTTTCCTGCAACTTCAATTGATAATTTCTTTTATACAGGTTATATTTTCCTTACCCCTTCCAATGGGGGAGTCCTACCTTCAACTACGGGGAAGCTTTTGCCATGATGGCCGCTTCTTTTGTTTCTCTTTTTGAGGTAGTCACTAGGTCCATTAATAGAATCACATGTTTCAATCATTATGCTGGTATGCATTGCAACTGCACTAGTCCTTCCATAATAAAAACTATGTAAAATTGAGAAAGCATTTAAAAATGCATCTAGCCCCCAGCTTATGTTCGCTTTGAATTTCAATATCTTTTATATTTACATGCAGTCTACTGGTACATTTTATGCTGCGGCAAGATATGGAAGTGCAACCCCCGTGCCACCTTCTGTTATCAGCCGGGGAACTGGCTGGATGGTAAGATTCACTATATTTTGTAATTCTTTCAGGAACATGCATGGACAAGAAACTTATGTTTGATTTTTATTTGTGTCATTCTTAATGTTATTTTAGGGAGTTGGTTCTTTGCTCAATGGCATGTTTGGTACTGTAACTGGAAGCACAGCATCAGTGTAAGTAGCTCAATCCTTTTTTTCTTGAATGTATTGTAGAGGACCCTTGAGGCCTTGACCAATTAATGAGCACTTACGATTTCAATTCAACCAATATAATTTTCTATACTACGTTTCTTTTGTCATCTAGTCCTGCTGGAAAATTTCTCATTTTCATTGCAATTCTTGCATTATGCATTACTCTTTTTTTCAGGGAAAATGCTGGTTTATTGGCATTGACAAGAGTGGGAAGCCGAAGAGTCATTCAAATTTCAGCTGGCTTTATGATTTTATTCTCTGTATTTGGTATGCTTAACCAATAAGCTCTGCACCATTTCATAATTTCAACGTCTTTGGTAATATGAGTAACTTAATGTTCTTAAATAAATCCCGAATTGACTCTCCTAATGTTTCATTATTGTTATGTTATTATTCTCTTTAATTAGTGATATCTCATGTTGCATACTTTCCCTTCAACCAGGAAAATGTGGAGCAGTTTTTGCTTCCATTCCTTTGCCAATCATGGCAGCAATGTACTGTGTATCCTTCGGCTATGTGTGTAAGTTCCCTCTAACTAATTGCCGTTGTGTGTTTTTTGGCTGTGTCCGCAAATAGTACCTGATATTAGTTTGTAACATGGGATATGTAGCTTCTGCGGGTCTTGGTTTTCTCCAGTTCTGCAACCTCAACAGTTTCAGAACCAAATTCGTGTTGGGCTTCTCATTCTTCCTTGGCATCTCCATACCACAATATTTCACAGAATATTATCATGTAAAGCATGAACACGACGCAAGTTCTAGATGGGTGAGATATCTGAACACAAACCAAATGTTGAAAATTCATTTGTGGTATACATTGACAATAGCACTATCTTTGTGAGTGATTATCATTTTAATAATTTGCAGTTCAATGATATCGTGACCGTCATCTTTGCGTCGCATACAACGGTTGCTGCCTTGGTTGCTTTCATTTTGGATATCACACTCTCTCGCGAAGATGATGCAGCCCGTAAAGACAGTGGTTTGCAATGGTGGGAGAAGTTCAGTTTATATAATTCTGATGTTCGAAACGATGAATTCTATGCTTTACCATGCAGACTCAATGAGCTTTTCCCATCCCTTTAAGCAGCTTCTTTGTCTATGGTTATTGTTTAACCCTTTAAGCCAATCCATCCTTTTTTTCAAGAAACTTGTGTGTAGTTTCTCATAATATTATTTTACTTTTGACTTAATTGCAACTATTGTTGGAAAATGGGAATCATTTTCTTTGGCTGTTAGTATTTATCCTTGATATTACTATTGTTATATTTATAGATGAGAAAGTATTTTTACTTAGTTTTGATAAAAACGAAAGACAGAATGATACTGGCCACATGTACTAGAGGCTAGAGCTCTCGTTTTAGATTATGGAAGATTAAAAATGGGATGAATAAATCCCGAGAGAGAGAGAGAGAAAAAAACATTGACCGCTTCTGCCACAAAATTTGGGATCATTAGCCATGAGCGGCAATTACCGCTTATTAAGGTTGTGAGTTGTCTTTGTTTGGATGCTGCAACATGGTGAACCTAAGAAATAGGTATATTATAGGTGTCATAATGAGCTTTCAACAGTGGTTCGCTGTTTTGATGTATGGTGCCGTGCCGGGACACCATCTTCCGATACCCAATTATCAACTTCTAGAGACAATTTTCCCACCAATTTTGTCTCTTTCGTCTTCCCGGCATTTCAGTTTTTTTCTTGGGTATCTTTTAGTTACGCTAAAATTTCAGGCAAGTCAAATTTCGTACAATTTATTGAACTTTGGTTGGCGTGTTAAATGCACTGCTTACGTTGTAACTTTGATATTTTATTTACACTTGAATCATTCTCCGGTAGAACTTTGATCAATCTCAGTAATCTATGAAAATATGTATTCCGGTGCAAGAAGGCCCGTTTTCTTCTTGTTCAAAGTAATAAGGCCATTGATAACTAGCGATGTACTAATTAGTTATAAATCAATGTCTCTGTCAAATGTCATTTTTTCCAAATAGAAGAAAAAGAGTAAAAATATGGGTGCTTAGCAATTAAATTTAGGTGTTTGAATTAAAAACTGGAAAGATAGGTGGAGCCGTGAAGGATTGTGAATTAGTTTGATATTAATTATCTCCAGTTGCAGGTTTCCAATGCTTACTCTTAGACACTCATATCGGTTGTCCAAGTATTCACGTTGTCCTTTTGCTCGAGTGTACTATACTTCTTGATGCTTTGATTCACTTTAGGGTGAATAGTTTCTTGAACCTTCATAAACTGACTTCCCCTGCATCATAATTGAAATAAAGAATGAAATGTAGTTAAGAGCTATTGCCATCACCGGTGTTAGATTACTGACCAAGGCCTTCTTTCTTTTGATATAACATTGGTTTCCTCTTGAAGTTGAGATTTTGAAAATTTATCTTTAGTCATTTTTATCCACATTGCAGACATGGTCCGTGTTGCATATAAAGGGTTGACTGCTTCATCTGAAAAGATTAATGACCTCCTTGATGGTGAAAACGTAAGAAGAGTATGTTCAAAGGAAAGTAAGGGAGAGAGACTGTGGCGAAAATTAAAATATCAGCTTGTAGAATACAATTCATTGCCAGCCTACTTAAAGGACAATGAATACATATTGGATTATTATCGAGCAGAGTGGCCATTGAAACAGATCTTCCTTAGCATTTTCGCAATTCATAATGAGACACTTAATGTCTGGACGTAAGTACTTTGCCTTCAAGTACAAATATATTTCCTTAGCAGTTAACTTGTCTAAATGTTATCTTTAACATTCCGTTACTTAACGCTAATGACATTGTTTCAGGCATTTGATAGGGTTCTTCCTTTTCCTCTTTCTTACCATATACACAGCTAGGAAAGCTCCGATGGTTGTAGATTTCAACTCCCTACAACATTTGCCTGAAATGATAGGAAAAACAGATTTTAATAAGATTCGTTTAGAGCTCTTGAATTGCCTGCCTTCAATGGCCAACATGCCTCATCTTCTTAAATTTAAAAATGAGTTGAATGCATCTCTTCATTCTTTGGACTTCTCCTCATTATCAAGTTGGAATGTTGTGGAACTTCTCTCCAATTGCTTGTCCAAGCAATTTTCCATAGTAAGTTCCTATTCCTCTTCATGGAACTGTGATGTATTTTAAAAACACTAAATCTTTTTCAAGTGATTTATGAAAATGATAAGGAAGTAACCACAATCACATTGTTACAGAATGGTGTGAAAGATGACATGATGGACGTTGTATCCCCCTTAATGGTGCAACCGATTACAAGGTGGCCTTTTTATGCCTTCTTAGGTGGGGCCATGTTCTGCTTGCTAGCTAGCAGCACATGCCACCTACTTGCTTGCCACTCACAGCGCCTTTCCTACATTATGCTCAGAATTGACTATGCTGGGATTGCTGCGTTAATTGCAACTTCATTTTATCCTACTGTATATTACTCATTTATGTGCAACCCCTTTTTTTGCTTCCTCTACTTGGGTTTCATAACATTAATGGGGATTGTTACTATTTTCTTCTCTCTTCTACCATTCTTCAATAAGTCAGAGTTTCGCAAGTACCGTGCTTCCCTCTTCTTTTTAATGGGATTTTCAGGGTTGGCTCCCATAATACATAAGCAGATATTGCACTGGCATCACCCAGAGGCCTTGCAAACTACTGGTTATGAGATATTAATGGGACTTCTTTATGGTTTGGGAGCTCTAATCTATGCCACAAGGATACCAGAGAGGTGGATGCCCGGCAAGTTTGATATTGCTGGCCACAGTCACCAACTTTTTCATGTCTTGGTTGTGGCAGGGGCTTACACACACTATCTTGATGGCTTAGTCTACCTCAGATGGAGAGATTTGAAAGGTTGTTAGGTTGATATATTATATAGTGATCCTTATGTAGGTTCCTGACTTTCTTTCTGTCAGGAATCAATGTTAACTTAGATATCAATTGGATGGAAAAATGAATAAAACAATGTTAATACTGTCTAGCAAACACTTCGTTGTTCTTTAATTGCTGTGCTGGATCTATGAATATACTCTGGCCATGCAATTTCCACAGGATAGAACAGAATGAAACATTATATTGTATTTTGCTCTTTCTAGTTCTACTTTTCTTAGTGAAATTAAAATATATCATTTTTTAATCTTATGTCCTATTCTGTTTTATTTAAAAAAATATAAAATAAAACTCATTTTATATTTTACCTGCTTGTTCTAACATGTATTCCAAAGCTATCAGAGTTTTTAATCAATTTTCAAACAAAAGCTTCACTTGCTTCATTTTGCTGGATCGCGCTATGAGCTTGAACTCGAATATTACTGATGCTAACAACGTGGTGGCGTATTGGCTTGCATAATTAAAAACTATCGTGTTGTTTGAAATATAGCAGCAGTGTGCTTACTAATCAACGCTTACATGATGTTTTTGAGTCCTTGAGGTGAGAAATGAAATACCCTCATTTACTTCTCAACCCAATTAAAAAACTACAAATATTGTGGAAATGCATGAATGATTAAATGAAAAAAATTTAGTTAACACTTAACATTGCCTATGGTATCTAAAGTGCAAAATAAAAAGGAGAAAAAGGTAAACTTAGGACTTTCAAATAAAGGTGGTTGAAAATTTGTAACTTCAAGAAGACATGATTGACAGTGAAGAAGAAAATTAATAGCCCTTTTTTTTTTTTTGGTAGACAATTAATAGCCCTTTTAAATGAGTTTTTTTTTCCCTTTAAAGCTATTTTTATTTTTATTTTTATTTTTAAAAAAAAAAAGTGTTTTTCACTCTAAATAAATGTTTGGATGACACTTTTTTTAAAGTGTTTTTTACTCTAAATAATGCAAATAAATTTCTTTTTTAAGACGAGCTCTAAGAAAAATTCCTATATAACTTCCTAAAAAAAATATAATAATAATAATATATAAATCAATCAAAAGATTATTATATAAAACACTTCAAAATATATAATTCAATCACAAAATTGTTATAAACAACACTCCAAAGGATCAAAATATATAATTCAATCATAAATTATTCTAAACAATACTCTAAAAATATATAAATTAATAAAAAAATTATTACAAGCAACACTCCAAAAATATATAAATCAATCATAAATTATTATAAACAACATTTTGAAAATATATAAATTAATCAAAATTGATTAAAATTTCAAGACATTTCATTGGAAATATTTTTTTAATGATTATTAGGTAAATAATATTTTATTGTTGTGATATTAAATTTATCATTGGTATGATAATATTTTTCCTATAAATAAAAGTTAGAGAAGTCATTAGTGATATTGCTTCCAAATTGAGAGAAATCAAGGAGTGAAAGGTATTGGAAAATTTGGAGAAAACTCTATTGAGAGTAAAAGAAAGGAATTTTAGAGTGAGAAAGCTTGATAATAAGGAAAGATAAAAATAAATATTAAGGGTGAAGATAACTTATTCCTTTCTTCTAAAATATAAATTCCATGTATTTGTTATTCATTTTCACTTTTTCTCTTCTTCCTCTAACCGGTCTCGGTGAGATACCGTGTTTCAATTTATTTTATGTTATTTATTTCAATAATTTATGTTTTTTTAGTTTATATTTTGGCAATTTATATTACAACAATTTATATTTTTGCAATTTATACTTTAGCAATTTACATTTTTGCAATTTATATTACAACAATTTATTTTTCTGCAATTTATGATGCTACATATTATCATCATATACTCATGATATATATATATAGGGGAGGGATCATTTGACTCCAGAGTAAGATTTAAAAGTTTTACTCCTCATCTCAACCCTTGATTTCCGTTCATCCAACGGTTAGCATTTATTTAAAATTAATAATTAATTAATTGTTGTAACTTATTAAATGTTAACCGTTGGATGAACGGAAATCAAGGGTTAGGATGATGAGTAAGAATTTTAAATCTTACTCTGGAGTCAAATGATCCTTCCCCATATATATATATATATATATATATATATATATATATATATTCAAATTTATATTTAAAAAATTTGGAATTTTGCAATTTATACTACCATTTATGTGCATAGTAACATATATGTGAATAGAGTCATATATATGATAAATACTATACATACGTTATTTAATTAATTATTTTTATTTTTCATGTTCATTATACTAATATGTTATGTATTTAATTTTTATGTAAATTATCAAAATAAATTTTGTATGATAAATTTTTGTACGGTTAAAATTCCAATAACTCATTATGTTTTTTTAGATTTACTGTAGTGATCTGATTGTTCTTAATTTTATTGTAATATAAAATTTAAGTAATGGTATGTTATGATTTACAATTTATTTTTATGGCATTCTTTTAGAGATATGCACATGTTTGTTTGCCTAAAACATTTATAGGATTTCTCATAGAAAGTAATCTAAATATATGCATGATCAAGAAATTGGATTTCTTGAGTCAAGGAATATATTTCTTAGACAAGATAGGGCAGAGGGAGACCCTTGTAAAATACATAACTCATATATATATATATATATATATATATATATATATATATATATAATCCATTTTTATGAAAATGTCATGGCAGATAATGTATATATGAATTTGTGATGTTATACTGTTTCGAAATATTATGATGTTAATATTATTCATTTAAAACCATTGATGATCTTTCCATACTAAGTTATGGCTAAAAACACTATCCTTTTGCAAAAACTTTTTAAATTGTTAGTTTTACTAAGATGAAAATCTCATTAAATGTGTGTTTTGAGATGTGGATGATAGAGCCTAAAATAGATGTTGTGTGTGTGAAAGGAAACAGTATTAACCAATAAAGTCTATATTTTTATCAAGTTGTGATGTTTTATATTGGACCATATTTACATTTTTGTTATAGTATTTATATTTTGTAAGGTTATTTGATACCCTGTATTGTTGTAATTGTTTGTACTTTGATATTATGGAATAAATCAATTTTAATAAAACTTATATTCCAAGTCTTTTATATAATATACGTATAAAATTAAAGATTAAAATATGAAAGTAACATTCCTCGTTTAACAATAGAAGGATGTTACATCCTATTTATAAATGGAAAAAGGGTTTAACCTTTTAAATGACACAACTTACATCCTTTCACTCTCACAAAGAGGTAGGACCTACACCTTTATTTTTTTTGTCAACTCTCTCCTCCTTTATCTATCTTGTTCTCTCACTTAAAATGACATAACTTTACATCCTTTAAAATGACACACACTTTATCCTTTATAAATAATGTTTTCTTTGTTAGTTTCATCATACCGACATTATCATATACAAAAAACTATATAATATTTTCTTAGTATGAGAAGTATTTCATTGGAACAGCGGGTGCATTGAGCTTTGTTACCGAAGAAAGGATGAGACTAATCCTTCATTCGAAGAGAGATGCATGTTCTCTGGCCTCCAAATTTTTTTCTAGAATTTGCTTGAAACAGGGTTTGAACATCTTACTCAAACAAACCCTTGGGATTTAAAAGAAGTATTTTTCTATTCGAGTATTATTGTTCTGAAATTATAATTTACTTCAATTAGAAAAAAAAATCTTATATTTTTCCATGTTTTTTCTTTTATATTCTACATTAATTATTATATATCAATTGTTAATTTTCTCACCTTTATTTTAAGGGTTTTATTAGTGTTATGTAACATGATGTAAGTGTTGTTTCCAACTCTCACATCAAAAGGGGGAGAGAAAGTAAAATGATGAAAGGGAAAGAAAAATATGTGGACCCCACCTCTTTAATGTGTGTAGGAAAGTGAAGTTATATTATGTTAAATGATAAACATAAAAGCCTTATTTTAATCATGTAATACTGTTCCGTTTAACTCTTGTAAGTTGTAAATAAGTAAATAACATGATGCTCGTACTAATACTAGTATTGGTACGGGCAGGGCAGGACTCGGTTAAGATTTGAGACGTAAACAGTACAACAATAAAACTACGAAAGGGAACTGTAGTACATAAATATAAAACATGTGGTTGAATTAATTTAGTTTATTTGCATTGAATTTGTTTTTAAAAAATAAAAAATAAAAAATGAAAAAATAATCGTTATAATAAAAAAGCTGTTACTGGCTACTGGCCAATGCCTATACGGTATTTCGTATTCATGTACAGGTATTTCGCAATGATGGAGAAGGCTCGTAACTCGTAAGCAGATCAAAACTGCGGGATAGGGTGATCACATGGGTCCTTTTGGCTTTTGCCATGCTGACCCGTGAGTGTGTGACCATGGGAAACAAAATAAGCATTTGTATCTATTTAGTCACACGGGGTATTCTCCGGAAAACATGGTCAGTTGTAATTGGATCGCCGCTTTCCTTTCAGTCCCAACATGCTCCTATATAACCCTATTTTTTACTCTTTCTCCTGTTTCCCATTCTTCTGCTCTTTTTCTTTTCTTGTTCGTAAATTTTGGGAACTTGGAACCTAGTGTGGTTAAATATTCTAAATAAATCTAACCAATTATGACAGAAAAGACAAATTAAAATATTTTTTATTTGGATTCCTTCGGAGCTGTAATCATATTTTCAAACTGAAGAAAAAAAAAATGCTTCTTACACTTTTTTAACTTTGAAGTTATTTGAAAAATATTGAGAGTTGGGATTCGCGGAGGGAAAAAAGTACTTTGATGAGAGAACAAAGATTTTAAAACCACGTCCGTCGCACTTAAAATCACGTGCTTCATTAGAAATATAGGGTAGCTGGCAATTTGTCATTCGTGGTTTAATTCTCGTCTCAGAATTCAGGAGTACGAAAAACCACTGAGTGACACTTTGGGGATATTTGGTTTAACTTATTGAAAAAAAATTCTATGCATCTGACTTTAATCTGTAAGGAGAATCATATTTAGTTCAAGATATTGAATAATTTCTTCATTTAATATATAGATTTTATTAATTTTATGTTAAAAGAGATAAATTATTTCATGTCATAGAGATAAATTTCTGGGTTCCACTATCTGAAAAATAAAAAAAATAAAAATAAAAAGATGACATAGAAGCATGTGTAGAAAAAAAATTTATGACATTTAGCATAAGAGTAGTTTTTTCTCTAATATATTTCTCTAGCTTTTGAAAAATGGGAAGCAGATGATATAAAAAGTACTATTTAGAAGACCATTTCTAAGATGATATTTTGTACTTAGATGAATAAATAGCAAGATATATTCTATTGAAAAGACAAAAAAAGACACGGTCAGAAATTTTTTAGTATTATTAATCGATTTTCATAAAGTATGATAAAGGGTTATTTTAGTATTTTTAACAGATTTTTCTATCAATATTTTACCTTCAACCAAACATACACTCAGAAAATTTAACCCAATTTCTTCGGTAATATTTTGGGATACCAAACAACTTTTTTTTATTTTTTTTATCAAAATTACTTTTCCACCATATTCTTACTAATTATATTTCTCTGATAATTTTTTTTTCTCCTGAACCAAACATCCCTTAATACATGAAAAAAATCTATAATACTAAGATAGTATATACATTTAACCAATAATAGCATGGCACATTAACCAACAAGTTTTTAGCGGATAGAGATAAAAGAAAATAACTTTTAATATTATAATTATATAATTTTTAGAATATATAATTATAATATTATTGTCGCATTTAGTGATCCACATGACTGTCGTACCAAAAATGTCTCTAATACATGCAATTGCCTAAGGAGAAAAATTTTAGTGCAATGAACTAAAATTATTTTTAGTTCGATGTTTTTTTATTAAAAAGAAAAAAATTATCCATTTTTTTTGTATATTTTCTTTTAAGTTCTAATCTCTTTTTATTTTAATAAAAAAGAACATAGAATTCGGTGCTACTGATCCACCAAATTTTTTCTGATTGCCTGTAAAGTAAACTAGCGGCTCATGAGCGACACTAATGTCTGTTCACTTAATAATTGAGATCATCATGTGTAGACATTTTATTTTTATTTTTGAAGCTATGGAACTTAGAAATCATAATTGAATATCCATCAATATTGCCTTTCTTATCACCCTTTTTCTAGAGAGAAATTGAAGCGTGAGATTTGACATCAGCCTGTGTGATATGGACAAGATTTTTTGTCTCCGGTGTGAAAGGGAAAGGGAAGTTGGTGGTAGAAAAAAGGGAACGGAATCTTTAAAGACTTTTGAGTTTAAAGTTTAAACAATATATCGGTTCTCTTGGCACCGCTGCAAACTTGCAATCGGCAATCTTTGACCTTGGCTTCAAAAAGTGACTATAGTATAGCAAGCAAAACTCGTGCAGTTGGAAAAGCCCATGTTTATACAGTGACTCTCTACCAGAGCAAAGGTATTGGAGATACTCTCTCTGTCATGATATTATTTTAGCGTTTATTTTTTTCTCAATAAATTCTAGGATCCGTTTGGATGAGCTTTTTTTTCTCCAAAATTTTTCATTTTTAGTTCGTTTGGATGTTTGCTTAAAAAAAAAAACAGAAGTCACAAAAAAGTCAAAAATTTACTTTTTTCAGAAGTTAAAAATTTTAACTTCTCAAAAAAGTAGAAGTCAAAAGTCAAATATTTTTTTCAAAAATTAAATATTTTTATAAAAATATAAATAACTTTAACTTTTATAAAAAATACTTTTAAAATAAAAAAGAGATAAAAATTACTTTCTTAAAAAGTAGAAAGAAACGGGCTCTTAGTGACATATGTGTCCTCATAACTTATGATTTTAACTGCTCCTATAATTGGGCTGCAACTTTTATCTGTATTCTTGGTATTTTGTTCTTAAGTATAAACTTACATGAACTATAACAACAAATATACATGACCCCCAAAATAAATAAATAAATAACGGGAGGATTGAAAAGAAGGGGATGTGATGTGATGTGATGTAAATTTGTCTCGTTCCGATTCTATAAACCTTGGAATCCCAAATTCTAAAAATGAATATGCACACAATTGTTGTTTAAGATGGTTTTTAGGCATTAGTTGACTATGGCTACATATGATTGAGTTTGATAACCCCAGTGCTTAACAGAGTAGCATGTATCAGAAATTTGGAAAAGGACACAATCTATTAAAAGGACGGGGCATCTTTACGTAAAGTCACATTTCATTCTCACTTGACTCAACAATTTTTTATATAAAATGAATAGAGACTCACTGGCTTCTTGTAATGAGATAGGGTCAGCGAGTGACTGCCCCTAATTGATTATTTATAAGTAAGTCCAAATCCAAAATAGAAAAGCAACATTTAATTGATATTACCACGTTTTCCACGACAATCGATGGATTGGTTTTTTTACTTTTTACTGTTCAATAGGTACTACTTTATCTTAAAAATTTCCGCATTGCACACGTAGTATAGTAAGCTAGATAGATATTTGCCTCATTGTGTCAGAACCCAAGCATAGTGTTACCCAAATGTGACATTATTTCCCAGTACAATATCACACGTATAGTAAGAGCCAAACTATTATACTGGGCCCTAGATGTGTTATAGGTACCATATGGATTTTCTACCATTTGGGCGAGGTGAGTTTTTGTCACTAAAGCAAATATTGTACACATGTGGGTACTCCAGTCTCTTGGATGTTCATGATGTACATTTTCTACTGTGTCGTTCAAACTTGACTGTTTCACTTTCTGTATTTAATTTGACAGACCAGATATCTTTATTAAGGAAATTAATTGTTACTGCTTGAGTAACGTTTTGCATTTTGAAAAAGAAAGTCCAAGAGAGCATGAATGAGAGACCTGGGTCTGCGTAAGTAAAATCTCTTTCATGGTCATGTCTGCAGAGTATTTAAGCATTTAAGAGAATATTCTACTCAATTAGGCAGCAGTCTTTTTTTCTGTAATCATATTTGCTTTTTGTTGGCATTACATTCAAGTCGGTGCTTACCAGTGGTTTCTCTTTATGAAACATGGATCTGTGCAGCTCAAAAAGTGGTGTTTAATTAATCCTTTAGTTATCTATCTCCATATGTGGACACTTTCTGCGCTAAAAAAGTGCAAGACACCAAAATAGTCCTTAAATAGGATGGAATTAGGATTTAAGAGTAGAACCGAAAGCACAACAATACAGAAATTTACTTAGTGTATTGACTGTGATTGTGGCGAAGCTGTTCAGTAAAAACATTAAAAAAAGGAGGACATCACAGCTGAAGAATTTAGTTTGTTGGTTGTAGCAAAACGCACAATGTTTAGGATAAGCAAGGCTAAGGGAGATAGAGGCAGGCCGTATTTACTATGAACCATTAATGGAAACAAAAAGCTAATCATTAAAATATCATTAGCAGTGACTTCACCAAAATTAAAATAACTTTTAACTACAACACTATCTTTCTTTATTTTTAAGTTAACCTAATTCTAAATTGGCTTTCATGATATTCTCGTAAATTTCAGTTCTTTGAGTTGATTATGAAATTATCCGGAGTGCGAGACGGATAAAGATAAAAATATTTAAATTCATACCATCTCTGTGAGGTGTTTAAATATTTTGATTCCTGACCCACCCTGCATTCTTAATTAATCTCCTAATCAACTTAAAATACCTAAACTTATAAAAATATAGAGGAAGATAACTTATTTCAAAAAATGAATTGGGGTTGAGTTAATTAAAAAAAAAAAAGATAGTGCTGTCCTTTCAAGTTAAAAGTTAATTATAATTTTGGTGAAGTCACTACTAATGATATTTTAATGATTAGCTTTCTATGAGAGCGTGGTAATTGGTAATGCAGCTATAATCTCTCCCCTTGTTACTGTATGATATCTCTCTCTCTCTCACTCACTCTGCAAGTCTACACTAACTGACACTCCAGTACACACGCACTCAAAGCCAACTGGCAAAATTGATTCATTAGCATAAAGATAAAACAAGAACGCGAAAGGAGTGAGCAAAGGGACAAGCAGTTTAGAATTCTATTGTGATTCGTTTGTTTCTCCCTCTCTTTCTGCCTCTTTTTTAGTTTTTCAATGAATTATTTTTTTCTCCTTGCTCTACTGTTTCTCTTCTTCTACTTATAATAATAAGAAGAGCCACATTAAGAAGCACAAAGGGAGATATATAGAGTGAGAAGAAAGAGAGCAAAGCAACTCTACCTCTAGGTCCTCTGCCACCTCTCTCTACGCTCTTTCACTCGATCACCATACCAGAATCTATAAAGAGTCCCAATCTTAGTGCCTAGTTCTTACTCTAAGAAAGAAAGGTTAAATGGATATGTCAAGTTCACAATACAATAATGCGAGTGAATCTGGTTGGACCCATTACTTGAACCAATCCTCTCTTTCTGAAAGAAAGGGATCAAGAATGGAGGAGGAAGAAGATTTATCCATGGTCTCTGATGCTTCTTCTGGACCTCCACACTATCATGAAGAGGATGATCAACCCTATTGTGTAAATTGGTATCCTTCCACATCCCAATACACCAAAGAATCCGAAAAGAAGAAGAAGGTCAGAGAATATGGTAGGAATCAACAGCCTTCATCTCTTGATGATACTGCCAGTTCCCCTGTTCTTAACGATCCCAAGGCAAGTCACAAGGCGAATGTCATTGGCATAGTTATATGTGTCTATGATTTCACCTCAGTAACACCTTTTTTGGGTTAATGTTTTTTTTTTTTTTTTTTTTTAATTGAATAGAAGAAAGTCAGTTTCTCAGGGAATGGAGCAGTGGAGAATGCACAGGATTTTTCTCCGTGTCTCTCTGCAACAAGAATAAAGGTAAATCTCCAGTTTTATTATTGATTCTTTCCATCACATTGTGCTTATTGTCCGGTTGCACATTTGATTCTGTTGAGGTAAACCTGTCAGTCTCTGCAGAGAAAGCCTAAATTCCAGAAGCACCTCGGTTTCTTTCAGCACTCTCTTGGTGGAAAACAATCATCAGAGGAACCAGGTGATTCATTGTCATGTATATTAATATTGTGTGTTTATGTATGTGTACCTCCTCCCCGCAAAGGATTCAAGTAAAATAAACTAACAAATGTCATATTAATTTGTTATCTTCTGATTAGGTGGTTTCGTTGAAGAAGAAAGGAAATGAAAATTTCAACGGTAGCTTTTGACCCTGCTGCGGAAAGAGAAGGACTAGGGGATGTCAAAGGAGAATCTGTTCAATGAAAAAGGGAATTCCTTTACATTTTTTTTTTCTAAATAGAAAAAAAAAATAAAAAAAGGAAAAGCTCTTCTGATGTAATTTTACTCTTTTATAATATGCTGTTGTGCCACTGCCAATGCAGTTTGGAACAACCTTAGGGAATATAAGAAACTGAATGATTCCATTTTCTTAGTTGTCATCAGTGGCAGGCATGTCTGAGACCTTTCGGTCTTCTTCACAGTAATCAGACACTATTCTTAAACATTGCCTCAGATGATTTTTATCCTTCTTTTTTTCCCCATATAATAAACACAAAACCAATTCATCTCACAACACATGTTAAAAAGAAACAGGCTAAATAAATCCTTTAAGTAAAATAAAAAGAACTGAGTCCGCATACAAGGAAGCTCACAAATACAACGGGAACGTTGTGGTCCTTCATGTTTATTTCAATACCTTTTGTACCAACCGAAATGCGAGCTAGAAGTCGGAGAGAGATAGGGAAGTTTTAGTCACTGCTCACAAAGACGAAGCATATATGAAAAACCAAAAGGCCTAGTAGTGAGTAGTGACCCACTTTGTTAAGTTCAGCTATTGCCAGGCTAGCTCTCAACCACTCTGGGTGGGTAAATATGTTAACGTAAGCTGCTTGACACCAAACATAGACAACGTATCCAAATGAAACCAACAGCCAAGCTTCATTGCCAGCCAAAATGAGCAACCCCACCACATCTGATAGCTACCCACTTCAAATGTGATCCATACATAACACTAGTACAATTATTGAATTTGTTTTGATAGGATATCCAACAAAATCTTTTTTTTCAAAGTGTTATATATCGTCCTCAGATTCAAACCAACGCATGGAGCTATTACAAAAGAACTTGGATATTACGATACGGACAGCATACTGCTTTCACTAGTTATCCCTACTTTCTTGTGTATTCTAAGTTGGTGTTAGCAAGTCACAGTGAACAAATAATGGTGTCATGCATTGAGGGATAATCGCAACCCGAATTCGCCATTATACAAATTTGAAATTAGATTAAAAACTTCTGCCCCAACACGACTCCTTTTTTTATGAGTTGATACGACATAAATAATCCATAAATTCATACTAGTTTATTATATGGGTTGACATGATACGACAACATGAATAATCTGCAAATCTTAAATTATGTTACTTATTATATGGATCAATACGATATGATAAGACACAAATAATTTATTTACAACATAACACAAATAACTTGTAAAATAATTAATGAGAATTAATTTCAGATTCGTGAATTAACATGTGACATGACATTAATTTTTTGGAAAAAATTATTCTTATGTCATATAAGGTAAGTTTTCTTCCTACACACTTTTCGATAACCGTGCAATTTTTTTTTTATTTTTTTTTATTTTTTAGGTAGTGGGTCCCACCACTATGTGTCTATAACATAAGATTTCTTATCTCATGCAACATGAGACTAGATAAGCCCTAATTTTTTTGGATAAACTTTTGTTAACCCGAACACAACACAAAAATAGAAACGGGTTTACCGGAACACAAAAATTTTGTATAGGGTTCAAGACATGTCAGCGAATAATATCATACATTGCGATCCCTAATTGGAAGAGACTCAAGAGATAAGATATAAAATGAAAACAACAAAATATATCATTTGCAAGATGATCAAACCAATAAACAACATAGCACAAATGTTTAAAGTACATTTTAGTCGTTTTCACTAATCTGAGTTTTAATCTTCATACATAGTATTTTTTTTTTTTTTTTGTAAATTACATAGTATTTTTAATACTTAATAGTTTTTATTTATCAAAGTAAATTTATTAAAAATTAGACTTGAAAATTTATTTTTGGAAAATACAAGTGTTATGTTACGTGAAAAATCTTCACTTTCCTACACACTTAATATAGCATGGAACCCATTTCAATTTTTTTTGTTTTTTTACTATACAATAGGGCCCACAGTGTTTTTGTGTCTATAACATGACACAAATGGTGTCACATTACAATGACAAACTATTATCCCTTTATTTATTTTTACTAAGGTATTAATTTTTTGAGAAACGGTGATGGCCTCTGTCATAACTTCTCAAAACACCATCAACAGCTCATCATCACCCATATCCTCTGCCTACCATCAACATCATCACCGTCTTCGTCAAAAGCGGTTAAAGTTAGCATTACCTCAAAAGACAGAGTTCGTGAATGAAGAAGAAGGGGAATCCTCACGCTCGGATATCATCTGCGAGATTCGTGCCGAAACCATAAGGATGGGTGACCATATATATGTTCAGGAACCAGAGTCGTGACAATTCTTTCTGCTCTGCTCTGACTCGTATTATAACAGCTGTAATAATATATTAAATATACTTTTTTTAAAAATATTTAAAAATAGTAAAAAATAAATAAATAAACAGTTATAGAAATTAAAGCTGTAATATAAAAAAAATGAATTGAATAAAACAAGATAAAATCATATTTTAAAAAATCTAACATAAAACAAAAAAAAATAAAGAAAAAAGTAAATAACGTGAATCATTTATATTTAAAGAATTAAAAGAAAATTCAGAGTAACAATAAAAGAGTTTAGTCGTTTTCTAGCTAAGTGTTTGGTTTCGAAAAAAATAAAATAAGATATTGTGACAACCAAATAATGTTACTATCAATGTTACTACCACATCTTAACCGTTGATTTTCGTCAATCAACGGTTATCATTTATTGCGAATTAATAATTAATTAATGAGAGTTTAGTCGTTCTCACAACTTATACTCATTCCTAGAGTTCAGTCGTTTTCCGCCAATCAACGATTATCATTTGTTCCCTCAATAGTATCTAAAGTTTGTGGACAAATGCCTCATACGATAGAACGAGTAATCTTTGTTCGACGATGGCACAACCAAAAGAAACAACATCAGAAGATACAACAAGCACTTGATCAATCACAGAAAAAGTAGTATGTGAGGATTAATTTTGGTAGAATTTCGATAAAGGGTTAGGAAAAACAAGTTATTTGAATTCATTGAATATGAGATGAATGGTTATTGGAGAGACATTGAAGAGGCGTGACTCTTCGAAAACGAAGAGACACAACCATTTATCCAACAATTCCTCACATGAATAAGAAGTTTATTCTCCTCGACCATTTGCATCTCAAGCTAGGTACAATTTGCGACTGATCAATGAGTAACAACTGCATCAGGATCGGTAGACACAATGCCTTGTAACTATTGACCTTTGAGTTTAAATCAAGACAACAAGAAACACACAATTGTTACTTAAACGTGTTTGATCTTCTATTTGTGTCTGTTTTGGCCATGGACACCTCCTGGTTCTGCAAATGTATTAGAGAATACGTCATTGTCATATTCTCACAGAAGCGACCCTCACTTCACACTCATATAGGTGATTTCTAACGGTACATCCAACATACATCGTCCGAACACAACAGAAACAAAAATCATTAAAAGTCTACTTGCTTACCCTTGACTTATACACTTCCTTGTCTAGGAATGAGTATAAGTTGTGAAAAACTCCACAGTGTTTATCTATCAATTATCACTTAGTTTTTTCTTTGAACATTATTTGTGGGATCTCCACTCTTTCAGGTAAAGTGTTCGTAATGATCAACATTTTAATGGTCTTAAATTCATTCCCTTCAGCAAACTATACATCAACTCTATAGTTACACATTTAGTTAACGGATCCATAATAATACCTTTAGAGAGTAATTGCCTCACGATATGATGTCTCTAATATATATATCAAGACTTACCATTATATATAACACTCCTTGCAATTCCAACTGCTACCTTGCTATCATAGTGGAAACATATGACAAACACTGATCTCCGCCAATTCAATTGGATTCTGAGGAAAAAAAATAGACATTAATTAAAAGAAATGATGAATGTGATGCTATTGACGTCTGGTTTACCACTAGAATTATAGGAGAAGCCATTCTAACGGCTAACTATATTATCAATAGAGTACCCCGCAAGAAGACAATGAACAACCCCTATGAAACATGAAATGGTAGAAATCATGCTTTGAGTTATCTTAAAGTGTGGGGGTGTTTGGCAAATGTTGCGATTCTGAAATAAAAAAGGGTTCAAATTAGACCAAAGACATTGGACTGTGTGTTCATTGGATATGCACTTACTAATAGTCCATATTGATTCTCTGTGTATAAGTATTCAACATAAGGACAGTTACAAGACATTGCATCCACCGAACCCAATGCATTTATTCCTCATTGATCAATCGCATATTGCATTTGAGTCTCATATGCATATGGTCTCGATAGTTGAACTTATTATTCATGTGAGGAATTGTTGGAATTAATTTTGAATTAATTATGTTCATGAATAAGAAATTTGATATGGAAAAGGTGTGTCTTTTCATTGTCGAATATGTGTCATTTAAATTTTGACCTTACGACTTCTATAAATAAATAGAAATCAGAATTTAAGAGAAGAGTTTTTTCTATTGGTTTTCGCACATTATTTGCATTTGCATTCTTCTATTATAGTGCGATTGGTTAGGCATAAGTTGAGTTCAATGGAGCTATTTTATGTGAAAGTGTCGCCACAAGAATGAATGTAATTCATTTTATCATGGGAGACAATTGTCAATGAATCTTGGACACCATAGAGAGGACAAAGTTGTCTTAAAGATACAGTATCTAACACTGGGCTCAAATTTTGTTTCTTATTACATCTATATATTTTCGACAATACACTTTAACTTTCTGTTGTTGCATTTTTTAATTTCTTATATGTATTTCGCGGGACCATGTATATTGTTAAAGCGATTTCTCTAACACAAATAATTCTTTCTAAGTGATTTTAAAATCATTTCATTAACAATAACACGTTTTCTTGATTGTTTCTTTCCTTTTTTCCCTTTCTTTACAAAGACTATTGATCACA